GGGGTTCAACCTAACCCACGACACCATTACAGGTAGGACTTTCCATCCTTCTCAAGTTCTTCAAGTGTTCTGTTTGTAAACCGGGTTGGGTGGCATTTTTCAAGTGTTTACGATTTATGCTTTATATAAGCTTGCACTTGATGAGCTAATTAACATTTCAAAACCAAAGGTCAGTAAAGGATTAGCTCATTTCCTTATCAAAGACTTTACCATTCTGCTCTCACTTGGCCTGCACCTGCAGCAAGGCATGCAGGTGAGAAATGAGGTAAGAAACAGTCGAATCCACTTGCCATTTCAGATGCTGGAAGAATGTAGATTCATGAGTCTACTGCAGCAGCAGAGCAGGCTCCCAAAAAAATCCCTAATTCAGTAGCTCTGCTTTTGTGCACTGGACACAGTAGCTCATAAAAATATTTAAGTGGCCTACACAAAAGGCAACTGGGGAACCAGATGAAGTCCAGCAAAGTCCAGCTGTCAGGCATGTCTTGCAAGCAGACAGTAAGAAGGAAATAATGGACTCACTGACCTCAGTCAGCCTTAAAATCTCTGAGAAATGGGCAAAGGCGGCACACACAAGCAAAGGCACTGAAAACTTCCCAGGATACCAGCCCACGGACTCTCTGGGGTTTAAGTACGCAGACTGGGATAACCATGAAGAAGAGTTTGAAGGAGATATGCTTCTCCCAAAGCAAGACTGATCCGTGGAAAGGGGTGGGAGTAGGGAGACAAAAGGGGAAAATCAGCTGGAAAATGAGTCTGCAGCACTGAACTTACCTCATGTAACGCCAACGAATGACCATATCTCATCTCTACGGAGTTCACAGTGTTGGCCAGTGGAAGCCACTCTTCAGAAATAAGGTCATACCTGTATAACAAACATTAATCAGATTATCTGAGAAGTAGATAATCAAGTCAAGAAAATTACTGCTCATCCTTTCCAGGATTTGTGGGAAATTATTTTATTTAAAAAAAGTCCTACTACAATTTCAGCATGCAGAAGGCACTCACAGACTTCTTATGGATTAAAAAAATCTAATTAAGGCTGTTCTGTTATTTAATGTTCACATATTGATTTGCTTTACCCTGAGTTTTCTTTCCCATGCAAAACCAAGAGCTAATGTGTTGTCTATTAAGCTATGACAACTTGCACCACATGATCCACCCAAAAGAGCAGAAACAGTTTACACTAAGCTCAGGGGGGAAAAAAAAAAAAAAAAAAAAAGCAACTGCCAGTGTTTAAAAGGCACTTTTAATTCTGTCTTTGTCATTCAAGTGTGTTTTTTTCTGTGAACTTGAAACAAGATAAATCCTCTGCCCTGGAAGTGGCCCGTGGCTTTCTAGATAAAAAAAAAATAAACTATACTCGCCAGGCTTGCAGACTTATAAGATAAAATCACCTCTGAGAAGTGTTCAATGAAACCACAGGGTATCCGCAGAAAAATCAGGCATGACTTTGAAAGTATAAATTATGGAAGTAATCAGTAACTGTTCTACAACTAAGTGTGCATCTTCAGCTCTTCTTTAACTTCCCCTACGAGAATTACTACCTCTGGACCCGAGTGCAGAACACACAGCTCTCGCGTAGGTCCACGAAAGCGAAGTATGCATCTATCTCTGGGAAAAAAAAACAGTTTTTGCCTAGATCTGCCCAAATACTATCAAACTCAAGAGGAAGCCTGAAATGTTCTTCATGGGGGATTTCTGTGAGGTACACAATTATTGTTTCACATCTTAGTTACTGTTAAAACTCCTCAACTAATTGCATGAACGTATTCATCCTAAATGTCGCTCGCTGCTTGGTATCCCATCCACCATGCATAAACATCCACAGTAATCAGTATGTATTAATTAAGGAGCCAAACGCTCTGAAGTCATAGAGATATAATATAAGGAAGGGCTAATAACACAGAAGCAAAACTACCCTCTTCCAATCCGAGGTCAGATGTAATTTAGAAGCTAGACTAGAAATACACAGTGAATAGTAGAATGCTATCAGAAGCAGATGAATCAAAAATTCACTAGACATTAAGAACTTTATGTTTTTGCTTTTCCAAAATTAGCACTCTTTAGCAGCGTTTTCCAGCATCTCAAACGTGAGTCTAAGTTTTCGTTACTGCTGTTTTCCCCTGAAGGAGGAGCGTAGGCCAAAGCAGAGCATGTCGGATGGCATTTTCTAAAAATAATCCTCAAATCTACGTTGTTCCACCCAAACTTTATTATCTAGGTTTATACTCACGCTAAAACCTTCTGAGAGTCAGAATGATTGAAGACATAGCCTCCAACAATCCACATTTTATTGTCATGGATTATGGTTTTGTGAGATGCTCTAGGAAGTTTTGGAAGAGAGTACTCCTCCCGAGTCCAAAACGACTGGTTTGCAGGAACAGGAACTGAACAGCCAGGACCTGGGAAAATAAGGTTTAAAAATGAAGTCAGGTCAAAGCTGTGATCCTCGTTTCCTTCCCCGTACCAGCAATCTGTGATGGACCTGGTGTGCAACCTCCCAACTGTAACGACATACTTCAAATTTAAAATTGTTTTCTGAACTTGAAAGCAATTCCAGACTAGATGAATTAGTGACGCAGCACAGCAGACACTCTGCTGCTCTGTTCTCCCCTGCGATAATAGGAAGGGGCTTGGTACAGACCCCTTCCCACTCCACTCTAAGAGGGTATCTTCCAGCACTTACCTACCTACTGCGTGCCCACAGAAGCCCCAACACAACCTGTGAAAGCTTCAGCAGATCTGCCCAGCAGCATGCTATGAAAACTCACGGGTCTATGGCTACTCCTCCCCTCTATTCTTTCCTCTCCTTCTCAGCAATACATTTTTGTGACTTGTTCACCTCTTATTTTTTTCTGTATTTCTGCTGCTCTTAAACCAACTTTTTGACTGCCAGGCTTCCCTTCACAGCTCCCCATGGCATGGCAGAAGGGGAGCAGCAAGCTGCAAGGTCTCAGCAAAGTAACACGTCACATGGATGCTCTCCCTTCTTCTCAGTGATGCCCATCCACATGCACAGGGTTACTACAGACAACAGAGAGCACAGAACCTGCTGAGGAGGCTCAAGCCTTGAAAAGGGAATAGGTTTATCAGGACAGCCTCTAGGCAATCATAAAAGCAAAACACAGCGGAACAGAGTTATGGTCTTCACTGTAAGAGACAGCATCCGCTCATTTTTGCCGAGTTTCTACCAGCAGCAATGTTAGGAAAGCAGACTAGAATCTGGTTTATTATCCTTGAAAAACTCCTGGTTTCTGAGGTAGAGTGACTATTTTCAGATGTAAAAAAGCTCCAGAATAAGAAAGGGGAGAGCAGCGTGCATCTCATTCTGCTATAGGTTGTTTTAGGTCTTTTCAGGGTTTTTCTGGTGAGTTGTTTTGGCTTGTGAGTTTGTTTTTTTTTCCCCTTTACACATTAATCTGCTACAGAAATGAAAGACAAGGAAAAAAAGAGGGGTACGCTCAAAACTGAGCCAACCTAAACCCACCTTTGCCGTCAGTGCACAACCAGACTCCAAAAAAGCATCAGGAGGCACCGCACTGCATAAAAGGATGTGGTCTTCCAGCCCTGTGCTATATTACCTGTGGCTGGTTTTATATCTGAGGCGCAGACATGCTAAGCTCAGTACTGGGTACATTGTCCTTAGGATGCTCATTTTGCTGCCCTGGATTCTTTCCACAGTGCCTAACACACTTGGGTTTTTCAGCATAGCTGAGTAGTGACAGCAGATGCTGCCGGGGCTGTAGCTGGTTACATTTCATAGAATCTCAGAATGGTTTGGTTTGGACGGGACATTCAAGATCATCTAGTTCAACCCCCGGCCATGGGCAGGGACACCACTAGACCAGGTTGCTCAAAGCCCCATCCAACCTGGCCTTGAATAACCCCAGGGATGGGGCATTCACAACTCAGGGAAACCTGTGCCAGTGCCTCACCACCCTCAAGTGTAAAAATTTCTTCCTTAGATCGAATCTAAATCTCCCTTCTTTCAGTTTAAAGCCATTGCCCTGTGCCCTATCGCTACATGCCCTTGTAAAGAGCCCCTCTCCAGCTTTCTTGTAGCCCCTTTAGGTACTGGAAGGCTGCTGGAAGGTCTCCCCAGAGCCTTCTCTTCTGCAGGCTAAACAGCTCCAACTCTCTCAGCCTGTCTCCATAGCAGAGGTGCTCCAGCCCTCGGATCATCTTTGTGGCCTCCTCTGGACCTGCTCCAACAGCTCCATGTCCTTCTTGTGTTGGGGACCCCAGAGCTGAACGCAGCATTGCAGGGAGGATCTCACGAGAGCAGAGCAGAGGGGCAGGATCCCCTCCCTCGACCTGCTGGCCACACTGCTTTGGATGCAGCCCAGGACACGGTTGGCTTTCTGGGCTGCCAGCACACATTGCCGGCTCATGTTGAGCTTCTCACCCACCAGCACCCCAAGTCCTTTTCCTCAGGGCTGCTCTCAATCCATTCTCTGCCCAGCCTGTACTTGTGCTTGGGATTGCCCCGACCCACGTGCAGGACTTTGCGCTTGGCCTTGCTGAACTTCATGAGGTTCTCACAGGCCCACCTCTCCAGCCTGTCAAGGTCCCTCTGGATAGCAATATAAGACTAATATTCCTCTTCATATAAGACTAATTCTTCCACGTCAGTGTATCTTTGCAAACAAAACCTGTATGTTTGGTCCAAACTGTTGCTAAGACTGACATGGCTGACAAGCACATCTGGACACGAGAACATGGTATTTTGTTTGTTCAAACAGGTTAACTACTCAAATTTTGCTTTAGGTGCCCACTTTAAAGTTTTTAGCTGATGCTTGGACACAACAGGTTGGTACTGCTTTGAATGGTAGCATAATTGCTTTTAAAATCATTTGCTGCAAACAAATTATGATCTTTTGATATGAAAAGGCAGACACTGCTCCTAGTCAAAATGTTAATACTTGTCAAGCAGAACATTCTTGAATACTCCAAATTAAACTGCAAGAGCCATACATAGAGAAGGCAACCTCTTAACAAGAGCTTCTCCGTATTAATCAGGAGACTCACCTTGCCAGCCTGCAGAGCACAAACATGTCTTAGTATCATTAAAGCTGCAGTGCCCTCTCTCAGGAGCCCCACAGTCATCTGTGCAGTAGGGAATATCACAAGCTTCTCCCTTCCAGTATTTGGCACATTCACATTCAAGAGCATCGCTGCTGTTCTTGAGCTTGCACTCTCCTCGGCCGGAGCAATTGTTGGGACACATATTGAAACTGCGAACATCAGGGAAAGAAGGTTTGTCAGTAATGAAACAGCCTCCGAAGCCGCAGCTCTCATTAACAAATACGACAGCGATGCTGAATAAATGTTAATACAGCTGTTAACATACAAACCAACAAGAGCCACTCACCTAGAACCTGATGTGATGGACCTGGAGAGATTTGTTCTCTGTTTAACATCTCCAGAGCTGCCTCACTTAATGAGTTAACCTTACAACTCCTCTGAAAAAATTATCAACGTGATTTTTAGCCATTTGTAAAGCAAATGAATTGCCTTAAAACGCCCAACAGTAAGTGAAGAATCTCATCAGCGCTTAAGGCTTTTGTGGTGTCTGTGCAATTTATACTTAAACTACTCACAATTAAGTGCTATTCTGGGATCTGCTTACCAAGGGAACACACTTGAGATGAATCCCGAGGGAAAGATGTGCCTGTTTTGAATCATTTCTGATATTATAACGTCTGCAATGTAGCTGAAGCAAAACCACATACATCCTTGGTGAAGATCCAAATTCAGAGACCCTATTCATTTCCAAATCCCAGTTTTTGTTGGTGTATCAACCAGTATCACTCACAGATGGGGATTACTACCCAATATTCTCTCTGTCATGGGACATGTGGAGTCAATCATAGCATCATAGAATGGTTAGGACTGGAAGGGACCTTCAAAGGTCATCTAGTCCAACCCCCCTGCAAGGAACAGGGATATCTCCAACTAGATCAGGTTGCTCAGGGCCTCATCCAACCTGGCCTTGAACGTCTCCAGGGATGGAGCATCCACCACCTCTCTGGGCAACCTGTTCCAGTGTTCTACAACTCTTATGGTAAAAAATTTTTTCCTAATATCCAAGATCAAGATCCAATGGCTCCAAGATCATAATTTCACAAGTGTTTGTCGAGTACCCATGTCCAGTAGTAACTATAAAGACTGTTAAACTGAAAAGAAACAAACACACCCTTTTATCTACTCTCTGCAAAAACGTTAAGAGGAAACTGCATGACTAGAACACACAGAAGAAACAGAACACAAAACAGTACCTGAAAATTGTTTGAAATGATCAAGTGAAGAGTTAGAGAAATACTACAATATCTTAAAGGAACCCAAAAAAGGCAGGTTCTTCTTTAATAAGAGAATGTCTCTGCCGTATTACATTGGTGCAATAACGACAGCTGGCAGTAGATGGTGGCATGGTTTATGGTATCAGCCAGACTTTCAAAATGCTACTGCTTCAGCTATTATGCTTCAGGTGACTTTGCAAAGGCTCCTCATCTTCTTCTGGACCTTTCAAGGGGGTCTGACTTTTTCTAGGACTTCATATTTAAGTGCTTAATAAGGATGAATGCACCAAAACTGGTATTCAAAAAAAACTAAGCACCTAGCTTTAAGGAAAACTTTCAATTTATGCAAAAAGTCAGTTGTGACCAAAGATTTTTGCAGCTGATTTTTTTTTTTTTCAAAGAGAGGTGAGAACTTCCACAAGTTGCACCCAAATTAAAATCTCCCAGTGCAGCAGAAACATAATTTGTATCTGTAGGAGCACAAAATTCAAAGCCCATGATCCCCACCAGAAGCAAGAAATTCCATCTCTGCCAGTATGTCCACACTGAGATCATTTACTTCAAAACAAAACCTTTCTAATAGCAGTCAGTGATTTAGGGAGTACCCTAGAATTATTTTTAAAAAAGCTAAAGCTTACCAATGAGGACTAAATATATGTTAGCAAAGAGAACGCACCCACCTATAAGATCCAAAATATGAACCAAAGAACATAACAAAACCATTTCAGACTAAAAATAAGCCAGATTAAGAGATTCAATCCGAGGACTGAGTAAGAAAAGCATCTCAAAGAAAACTGCTTGAGGATCCTCAAAAGTAAGTACAGTTCAGTGCCCCTCGTGAGACGTGTGCGCGTATGCAAAAGTGTGTCTGTGCAGAAGCACCTCTGAAAAATGTGTAAGAGCACATACATGCACAAAATACATCAATTCTGGTTGACTAAATAGGATCAAATAAGTGTAACAACATAAAATAAATAATATGAAGTTTTTTTGAGCAAACATTTGCCCACGCTTACAATTGACAACTCAAGTTAATGCTGAGCACGTTACAGTTATCAGCCATTGCAAGGGTATAATAAAGATTAAAAAATCTAAATTCAAGTATCTACTCATAATTACACGCTTCAATGGCAATCCCTTATTTCAAAACAAAACTGAGAAAAGAGAAAACCTCCTTTTGCTCAAGCTGCAACATCACTTTGGAGCGGTACTACTTACTTATATGTGATGTTAAACCCTGTTAAATTATAGGCAGCATCACTGAAGAAATGCAGAAGAGCATATCCAGAAGTAGCTACAACTTCTGGTACTGTTTCATTGCTGTCTTTCTCAGGAACAATAAGACCACTGGAAAAGAAAGAAAAAAACAACCAACAATGTTAGAAGTGAAATTTCTTTCAAAGTAATAATAGTAAATGCATCAGTATTAATAAAACAATTGAAACTCAAGGTATTTATTGCACCTATTTGAAGTGTAATGAATTTGTGTAAAGTAATCATCGTTTTCATAGCACGATGTTATCAGATGGTTTTTTGTTCAACAGGACTCCTTAAATATTCAAATGAAAATCTCTCAACATTGTGAATATGCATTCTTGATCAACCCTCAAAACAACCCCATTCTCAAAGGCATAAGAACCCTCAAGACCCTCTCAGAAAGACAAAACCACATTTTTCAGGGACTTAGTTTATTAAACCCTCTCACTTAGCTTAATTATCTGCAATACAGTGACTATGTTACAGACCAAAGAGTGCAGACGAATTAGGGTATCAAGGCTATCAAGAGTAGCATTACTGCTGCCCTCGACACGCACGACTTTGGTCTACAAGAACAAATGGCTGCAGAAAGGAATGCTAATAGAAAACCCTGAAGTAATCAGCTTGGTTCTTCTGAAAGATAAATGTATATTGTAAGTGTTTAACCTGAGTAAACCTGAACCTGTCTAGAATTCCAGTTATTCTTACCAAAAACCTACTTTCCCTCCCTTATTATTCTGCTGTGATTTAAACAGGATTCATCCCTAAAACCAGGTGGCATGTCTGAAAACAGAAATTAATGTATCCCAAAAGCATAAAAACTGCTGTACCAAGCCAAGCTAAAGGTCTGTGGAGCCCAGTATTTCCTCCTGACTACAGGCTACGGCAAATGCTTGGGAAAGACTGTGACAAATAAAGTGAGAATAGAGCATTTTCACGACGTGTTATCCAGCTTCCAGAAACCCACAGTTCAGGCATTTTGACCTGGAGAATGCACCCAAGTCAGTACATTTAAATAAACCATTCATCCATGCTTCTATCTAATTCCTTTCTCAACCACTTACACCCTTTTCACCTGGAAAATCTGCAGCAGAGAGGTTGACAATTTATCTCTGCAATGGTAGAGAAAGGACTTCTTACACTCGCTTACTACCTGATCATCCACCGCTGCCTCTCGGGCTCCTCCTCTATGAGAAATAAGTACAACCACTCTTACTCACCATCTTCCTGCCACTCGCTCTTCTACAAAGCTCCATCCGACTCATCATATCCACATTTATTGTCTTTTCTGTCCTAAAAGACTGTCACACTCACTATGCTCACCTCATTCTTTGTTTCACACTTCTGGTGACCTTGGGCTGTTTTTCTATAGCCTTCCAGGTTCTGCTAGATTCTCCAGCTTTTTAGGTGGAGAGAAGGGTGGATGGTGGGCAAGACTATTTACAGTATGCGAGATTGGATACAGTACGGATTTCTATAAGGGTTTGTCAAAATGCTTGGAGTAAACTGAAAAGAAGACTAAACGTCTCTTGAAAAGAGTAACCACTACATATTTACCTATTGCACAAAACAGTTTGTATCTGAAAAGGAACGTTTATCCTTCTTTTAACAGAAGCCCGACAACAACTAAACAAAGAAGTAATTCCTCTGTAATAGCCAGCATAAATTTGAACTCTACTGAATTTATTTTTTTTGAAGTCTTTACCCAAGCAAAGTGCATTCTCTACCACCACGTTTCATAGTCAGTTGTTATTGTCCTGTAGAGAACCATCCTTTCTCCAGCCTCAGTCCTGTTTTCAAAGGCTAAGTTGAAGCTTTTTGAAAAGCAGAGACTCCAAACCCCAGAGCGGAGCGTGTCAGGCAGGGAACTGAAGGCAGCTCTCCTGGGAAAGCAGCTGAGCCCGGTTTCGTGCCCTGCGACTTCTGAATATCTGAAGGCGCCATCGACTAAAAAAGCAACGATGAAAAGAATATTTCCCCCCGAAAAAAAACGTAACTTTTCCTCTTTTCACGTCTATTCAGAACAGAAAGCAAATGTATTTGAAGACAGCTCCCTAGGACAGGGTAAATGAGTTGCTGCACCCGAGGAAAACACCCACAGCTATCCACAGCAACCCATTCACATCGCCTGGAAAGCACTTTTCTGTGACCTGAATTTTTCTGTCCTCATGATACAACACAATGGTGCGCTCGAAGAAGAACACAGACACGCAGTGAGCCTTTCCAAAAGCTTTTGCTATAGATGTGGGGTGTCTGCATTGAGAGTAACAGATGAACACATCACCTACGGCAGGGTGAGACTGCTAATTGTACAATAGCCCTTCCTGCAAAACAAGTCTTATTGTGGACAAAAAAAAAAATCCTTCATTTTACCAACATGCCATAAAAACGCAGTAACCTGATCCTGTGTTTTGGCTAAACAACTCCAGCACATTTGCTGATGTGTAGCTCAATAAATATTTCCTTGTGAGGAAGCCAATTATTTTGCCTTCTTTCAGATCTCAAGGATATGTGATTAAAAGGCAAAACTCACTGCCTTTTTCTCCGTGTGTCAGACGTGCCTGTTTCGTTCTAGAATTTGAGACTTCTGATCTGAAGATCACCTCTCCCAAAAGACCATCTCCCGCACCACTGAAGAACAAAAAGGCTAATAAACTTCTCCTTGGTATTTGGTTCATAGTTTTCCTTTGTAATACAAACTGTAGGATGGTATGTCTCCGCCAAAGGAAAACAGACATCTGACTATAATTGAGGGTAAGCTCAGGGACAAGAGAAAATTCTTTTGTTCTGGTTTATTCTTCTTTGTCTTACTCTTGCAGCACTTATCACTGATATTACAGGGTAATCTAACTGGAAGGCCCTGGGGAGGGGAGAATAACGGCAGCAAAGAATAAAAGTACAGAGTGAATAGCTGTAGTGAGAGAAGACAAAAATCCCCCCCAATAACCTTTCTTAATAAAAGGACTAGCACAGGACAATTATTTGTTTTTCTCTTAGAAATCTCAATTTTGGGATTTGTGAGGGAAGAACACAGGTCCCTCCGTAGCAGATGCTCTCACTACTTGTTCCTCTCTTCCCATCTTTTTCTGATGACTCATATATATATACATACACACACAGACACTAACGAGGACATTGTACCACCCATAGAAGTTTAAAACATCCTGATGAAACTTAACAGATAGACTGTAATTTCGTTCAGAGAAAGCCATGAAGAGAACACAACACAATGGTTATGATCAGATCCTCGAAAGGTTCAACCTCGAAAACCGTGAACAAACTAGTGCATGCACAGCATCATTTTGAATAAACCAGCACAAACAGAATTTACATTATCTGCCATGAAGAAAAAAAAAAAACAGTAGGCAAAACCAAAATGATAAAGGATTATGCAAAACTTCCTTTAAACTACAATCCAGAATCTCTCAGAGACTCGACTCTGGCCGAGATTAGCCTATTTCACAACGTCCCGCTTCTGTTTCTTTTTATAAGGTTTCAAAACATTTCACAATCATCACTACTCCAAAGTAAACAAATACTCCTACTCAGCGAAGCTCTCCAATGACACCAGTGCTTCGGTGTAGAAAAGCAAACCTCTGTTTTGCCCTGAAACAACTTCTATTGGATTTGTACAGTCAGTGGCAGAGTGAAAAATAATATCCAGGAGACTCGACTTCTCCATCGCTCGCCTACACCATAGAAAAATGGGAATTATTTAAAACCAAGGGCATCTCTTCTTTTACTTTCCCTCGGCTTGCTAAGCAAGCGTCACGGTGATGGTGTATTCATCATTTTCTCCTGAGACACGACCTGCCAGCGTGGCAGAGATCAAATGCGTAAGACGCTCTACTGAGCAGAAAACAGCCAGAACGGAGGAAGATGGGAGCCACGAAAGGAAAGGGGGAAAATGCAGAGTACAGAGAAGTGACAGGATAAAGGCGATAATCAAAATATTGGTAGTATGATGGATTCTCAATGTATCGAAACACAATGAGAAACCATTCTCTTCTCATAATTTTTAAATACTTGGACCCATCTGGACACACGCGTATACAAAATGACACCATTTCTCTCTTATCAAAAACCAGTCTGCGCATATCAATATACTCACAAGAGTAAATATAAATAAAATTTAAAAAAAATGAAATTACAAGAGACTAAAAATAAATCAATGTTAAAAAATAAAAAAGAAGGTTAAAAATAAAGAGACATCTCAAATTGATTTTCTTAAAGGAAAAGCTAAGATTCCTGTGCAGCAAGATGACTCCCAAATACGGACTTGTAAGGAAATGAAGCAATTACAATGACACTTCTTAGAAAAAAAAAAAGGACTTATTATTGAGAGCTGGCAACACCCCAAGGTAAAATATCTTCCCTTGTTGCACTACGCACAGTCCCAGATGATGCCCAGGGCGAGCTCCTGCCCACAGAGCCCTCCGGACCACGGGGGTTGGCCCCAAAAAGCTCTTCAGTTCTCACATGATGCTCTTCCCTCCAGAGACAGTAGAACAAGGACAAACCATAAACATATTAAAATGTGCCTCATGAGCCATTCAGTAATTTTTATATGCTTACGTGACACTGTGAGTGTGACTGTAAAAGCCCTGTTTCAAGAGAACATGGACTGAGAAGCCTCAAAAGAAATAACGCCTTTTTTTGCTGTTACAGTGAAGTAGTACTTTAAAAGTTGAAAAATTATTTTAGTATCTAGTCCTGGAGAGACAGATCATGCTATCGATCCTGGTGCAAACGCCTTTCCCTTTTCTAAAACCTGAAGTCTCTTGTTATCCTTTAATATTGGTGAAGCTCAGAACAGGATACTTGAATTCATGAAAAAAATCAAAATCGCATTCTTTAGTCCATCAGAAACAGTTCAAGAGAAAAGAACGGAGGAACTGGAGAACTAAAGAAACTTTCTACTCTAAACTTCTTTTACAGACCTCGCTTTAACTCAGAGGATTTATCTTCTCAAAACCCTAAAATAGAAACTCTCTTTCTCCATCTTATCAAATTGGTTTGGTGTTTCTGAAGCAGATTACAGGTTTAGTGAACAAAAGCAATTTTGATACAACACATGTACATTTCTCTAA